TCTCTGTCTGGGACTTTCATTTTATTTTGTAATTTTTATTCACGTCTTCATACGCTCCGTGATATACTCTCATTTTTCAATCCTAACCCCCTCCCCCTCCCTCTTACACGACCAGCCCTCCATTTCATGTTTATTTATGTCTTGGCACCTTTGTCTGCTGTTGCTCCCTCCCACCAGCCACTTCCGCTCATAGCATCATGTTCGATATGAACGGCCCTCCCCGTTTGTATTGGCCTTCTTTGGGATTCTGGTTTTCGGAGCTTTCTTTGCCGCCTTTTTTGACTGCCAATGTTTCGTTTCAACAAACCATCACCGCCTAGTTTGCGCTGCGTTCAGCGGCTTGATAGTGGCCTCTCATACCCTGGCCAGGCCCTTGCCCTCTTACCCTGTGTATGGAGTACACCGTGCTGCTGACTCTCCGCCCCTTTCTCGGCCATTATTTGCGTCTTTTAATGGTGTGAAGTTTGTTTGTGTTGAGTGTTTTTGCCCTTTCTTCATTGCTCATTTTTTTTGCCTGGCCAAAACCGTGAGGTTGACCGTTCTGCTTGCGAACACTCCCTACTGCGAAGGTTTCGAGCCATCTTTTGGTCAGTAATTAGGACGCATGGCAAGGTTGTATGTTGTGTCATAATTCCTTTTTTTCTGCCCGACTTACTCGTTCTCCGCACAGCACGCTCCACTTGAATACATGCATGGCTGGGGAAATGAAAGTACAGAGTGGGAAACAAGCATATCAATTCCAGACTGAATAAGCTCCTCCTGTATTTCGTACACACTCAGTTGTGGGTAAAAAGAGACAGGAAATGGCAGAAGGATGCACATGTGCTGCAGAATGCAACCCTAAGCCAACACTTGGCCACTGGGCGAAATAAGTACGTACACCTGCGACACCGAAAAGGGCTCAACACGGATCCGAGAGACAGGACGAGAAATCCGGGGGAGTTTCAAAAGTGGCGACGATCGTTCACGCATGACCCTCTTTACTCCAACCCTCCATGATAACCAGACGTGTTGTGTCTGTCCCGTTTTTTTTTCTTCTTTCTCTCTCTCTCGCTTCTTCTCCCTATTGTCGACAGGAAACGTCAGACAACTCCGATAGCAGTCTGGCTCGTCTTGTCCCTTCCCAATAGACAAAATGGCGTTGTCAGGTGAGCCGAATTGGTTTTGTCAGGTCATCCTGGACAACGTCCCCTTCTATTGTTTGTTTGCCCAATTATGTGTTCTGTGCCCATTGTGTTGCATCTCGTTTATCATTCGTACACTTGCACATCATATTGCAAGAGAGTGGCCTATATCTCCGTGTTTCTGTATCTGCAATAAGGGCATAGACAACATAAACGAAGAGCAGGGTCTAGGCACAGTCGAGAATGAGTATCTCCGTTCTCCCTCGTGCCCTTCAATGAATCCTCCGCACGACATCTTTATTTTCTTTGCTCTGTTTATTCCGTCTATCTTCTATTTATTTCCGACCATCAATCTCAGACCGGTGCCTTTCTCTGAAGGCTTTTGTTATTAACTGTTAATTAAACGCGTGTTTTTATGTTCTTGATACACACCAGCCCTCCTTCCACGTTCTCTCCTCCGGGGGCATCTCACCACCCAGAACAAGGTCGCCACGTTTGTTGATATTGACAGGGGTGGTTCTTTTCGCTTCGCCCATGTCCGTGGCCGTCGTATTCTCTGTTCTTTGTAGACGTAGATATGCACATTTTCATAGACCTCTTTGCTCTATGTCGTGCTAACAGATCGCACTTTATTTTCTTCGTTTCTGTTCATTTCGTGATCTACGGGATTCTATCATTTCGCCCCAGGTCAATGTGACTTTGTCTGTCCTAGCCAACAATCTCACGCATGGGACCCATCCACACTCCTCCGAGTGATATGCAGATAGTTAATTCAAGTTTCTCATGCTTTTTCTTTCATTTTCTCCTTCTCCTCACCAACTCGGTGTGGCCACTTGTCATATGATCGGCGACACTTGTAGTGTTATGCTGTCTGTTAACACTATAATTATTTGTCCAATATTATCTTCCGAGCTTCCCTCTCCTCCTGCTTCTCTTGATGCTCGCGCCTCGCGGCCTCCCTTTGCCTCCAATATCAATGCGATAGCGTTTTGATATTGCCCTCCACACATCGTAAGACTCGAGACCAGTTTCGATTCTTTGGTACAGCAATATAGCGCAGTGCAAGAAGCCCGTCGGTATGAGTGCATGCAGGCACGCCAAGACCGTCGACCAGTTGAACGAGGCCCGTACCTTTTTTGTGCCTCCCTGCTACATTGTGACAGCTGTGGCAGTTGTGGGGAGTATCTGATTTTCTCGCCCCCTCTGCGCCTCGCATCCGTTGGTCCATTTGGCACTTCGCAGCCTCCCTTCCGCTCCCAATCTGAATGGCTTTTTTTCATACGCAGTATGTCGTACTCCGCACACCTGTGATCATTTATTTGCTCCCGTTTGTTGGACCCGGCAACACTCTAATTTAGCACCATAGATTTGTGTTTTCTCTTCCCAAAGCCAGTGCAGCGCACCGTTTCGCCAACACTGCACAGTCCACACAGTGCGCAACCCGCAACCACCTACTTTTTTTCAAAATGACACGCCCCCCTCCACATTTTCCTGCACTTGCAGTCTCCACCACCTCCAATCGCATTTCCCCTGCTGTTCTCTTCACACGCAGGGCCCAGCAGACATGCAAAAAAAGAAGGCACAAGTGTGCAATGGCTCCAGAGGCAAAAGGACGCATGACAGGCGAACCGTCGCCGCTCCCCAGAGGTCTTGTAACTGCCATCGCATGCTGTGATTCTCCTTACTCGACGCAGCAATTACGGAGTCCACCTGGTGAAGAAATGCGCCAAGAACATGTATCGTGACTTGACAGGTCTGGATCGGGCAGGAGGCAGAGAGACACCGAGAGGGAAGGAACAGTTGATCGTTTAGGAAGGCAGCCTCTGTCACGTTCTTTCTCTTCTGACGACAGACCCTCTCCATCGTAGCTTCCCCATTCTAACACCTCCACATCCGGGGGGCCCTTCTCTTTTTGTTAGTTTTTCTTTTCGTCTTCTCCGTACTGCCTACTCTCCAAGTATTACTCTTGTACGAATTAGACTGTTTGTCTATTGCCCCTTCCCTCTCCCACTGCTCCTGCACACGCTCCCCTCTTTCCTCCACCTTTCCTCCATCTGTGTTTATTTTTTACCTCATTCGCACCTTCCCCTCCGTTTTTCTGCAACGTGCATTTTCTCTGTGCCGCCTCGCCCACTCGTCACCACCCGCGGCGATCCTCCTTCTCGACAGTCTTCTCTCTTCCGTCCTCGTTTTGTCCTCCACGGTCTCGCCCACTCTTCACCTCTCGGGCGCGCCCTCCGTCTGTTTGGGCTTCGGTTCATGCTGGTCTCTGGCTCGGCCAGCACCGCATTCATGCACATGCCATTCAATTCTATTTCTGGTTCATTCTAGTTATTCTGACTCTGGTAGCTCGTCCACGCCCGTTTCCTCTCTTGGGTCGCCCTTGTTTCTCTTTCTCTCCGCCGTCAACCAGCATCTCATCTCATCCGCATCTGTCGCCCTTCTCTTCCACACGCGACAACCTGCTGCTCGGTCCGTCCAAGTACCGCCCAGGCTGTCCATTGATCGGTCGGGATTGGTAGACTCTCTTCTTGGCCTGGCCAAACAGGCGCATATTTTCATCTAACGCATCTACTCATCTACTTTACGCGACCACTTCTATACGACGCCTTCGAGTGCCCACCAGAGCACTCTATTTCTTTTCTTGCCACTCTCGCTGCTCAGTTCACCCCCTCCCACCCCACTATGTGCCTTGTCATATACAACCTCCTCCCGCTTGCCCGCCTCCGCTGCCAAGGCTGCGTGACGAACGAGCGTGCATATGGTCGTGTATGAACGACGAGAAGTTGGCGTCGCGCGTGAGAGGAGGCGGCCTGGCCACGACATTTCGGATACTGGTCTAGGGTCGTGAGGAGGAAGCGACCCGAAAGCACAGTTCCCGGCAGACGAGTACGACAAATTGCCAAAATTGTGAGGACGGACGACAACGACAAAATACGACACCAGAAGCTTGCCGAGACGCATCTGGTCGTCAAGGCACGACGACAAAACAACAATCACACAATCTATCACGGAGACGAATAACGCAAGCACAGTCGAAAGATACAGAGTCAAAAGGAAGACGGACTAGACGACGCACAAACGAATCACAAACGAATCTGAGAAGCAGCACCTGATCGTGTCTACTGCACGACGATCTAAAGAACAAGGACAACACCTTCTACTTGATAGAACTCCAAGTAAAACCGTCAAATAAACAGGTTCGACAAACACAGACATCCGATATTGCAAGGCCACCCTTCTTCCGATAGATGATACCGCGGACCCCCTTGCTCGACGTCGACCTTCTCCTTCCCGCGCCTCAAAGCTTCACTTTGTTGCACCCCAGCTACTGATCACCCACCCCTGTCGACTTTGTTCGACTGTTTCTTTTATTTTTATTTTTTATTTTTTATTTTCATTTTCTTGGCCTTATTTATTCCTATCCTCTTCTTATTCGTTCTGTACTTTGTCATTATCTGGTTCACCTTGTTTCTTCTCGACTCTTTATTCTTTTATTCTTTATTCTCTTCTCGCTGTTACCCTACTATACCCTGCCTTTATCTATTATTCTCCTTCGCTTCTTGATCTTGTCCCGCCTCGTCTCGTTGTATTTATCATCGCCAACCCCATCAACCTTGTCGAGTTCTTGCCTCTCACCTCTTCTCCTCCCTCATTTTCACTGTCTTTTCTTTCTTGACTTTTACTGTCTACCCTCGTTTATATCGACTTCTTGTCCCAGTTGCTGGAGCTTCACCCAACTGCCATCACTCGTTTGAAGTTGGCCCAACGTTTTTTTTTTCTCTTTCAACGTCACACTCGACAATTTTTGCTTCATTCCTTCAACTACTCGATCTCTCACCTCTCGCACGTCTCAATCATCTCGCATCCATCGCCATGCTGTCCAACCCGCTTCACCGCTTTTCTCCCTACCACACCATCCCCACCACCACGCTGCTGTCCAACGGTCATGTACCGGCCGCTCACATGCATGCACCCGGTATGGATGCCCTCGCCCAAGGGTCGCACTATGCCCTACAGCAGCTGCAGCAGCACGTCGGTGTCCACAACCCTCACAACCCGCATGGCAACCCGCATCTCGCACGCCCTGGTCACAGCCAGCAGGTGAAGCACCGTCAGAACCCGTATGGGCCTGCACGCGGTGGCAGTGCGGCCGGGCCAATTCGCCGCCGCATCAGCCGTGCGTGCGACCAGTGCAACCAGCTCCGGACAAAGTGTGATGGCCAGCACCCGTGCGCCCACTGCATTGGTAGGTTTTTCTCTCCCAGAGTTTTCATCTTCAACACCTCTAGAATCTCACCACCCGCTAACAATTCACGGTAGAATTCGGACTGGGCTGTGAATATATCCGCGAACGCAAGAAGCGCGGCAAGGCTTCGCGCAAAGATCTGGCCCAGCAGGCAGCTGCGCAGGCGGCTGCCGCTGCTCAGGTGAAAGCTGAGGGGAACGGCGATGATCAAAGTGACACCAAGGCCGGCCTCAACAATGCCACACACAGCAGCTCTGCCAGCAACGACGGCCATCCGCAAAGCGCCAACGAAAAACTGATGAACGACCTTGCTGAAGATGCCATGCAGCGCAGCCAGCGCACCGGCAGCATGGAGAGCCTGAGTGACATGGCCGGCGGCGATATGCACCACCATATGGACCAGCAGCAGCACCATCAGCAGCAGCAGCACTCTCACCACCTGGATGGCTCGGCTGGCGGCCTTGATCTCAACAGCTACGGAGTTGCAGCTGCCACAATGCAAAATCCATACGAACGCCAGCAACAGCAACAGCAACAGCAGCACCAGCAGGCTCAAGCCCAGGCTGCCGCTGCAGCCGCTGCTGCAATGGGCGCCGGTCACCACGGGCCTCACCAGCCTTATACGCAGTCGCAAGCCACGATATCCAACTACCCGGAGTTGCCTTATGGGCTGCAGACGCAAAGCCCGACTGGCTTTTCGACCAATGCAAGCAGCTTCCGCATGGGCACGAGCCCGCTGAGCGCATACCCGATGGCCGGTGACACTGGGTCGCCGCCTTGGATGACCATGTCCTCACCGCCTCCACCGCAACACCAACAGTATCCCTCACAGCAGCAGCAGCAGCAGCAGGTGCAGGCCCAACAACAACAGCAACACCAGGTGCAGCAGCAGCAGCAGCAGCAGCAGCACATGCAAGGTCTGCAGACCATGCACGGAATGCAGAATATGCACAATATGCACCCAGCTCTGGCGGGTGCAGCTGGTGTCGGGATGAGTGGGCTCAACGGTCTGGCGCCAGGTATGTCCCCATCCATGAACGGGCCTATGGCCAGCCACCACTCGCACCACAATGATCCGAACGGTCAACACGCACGCCGTGACCAGCATCAGCATCAGCACCAAACCCAGCACATGATGCCGAGCAGCTACAATCCAACACAGCTGCGCTATCCCGTGCTGGAGCCCTTGGTTCCGCACCTAGCAGGCATCGTGCCGCTTACACTCGCCTGCGATCTCATCGACCTCTACTTTGCCAGCTCGTCTTCAGCCCAGATGCACCCCATGTCTCCTTATGTCCTGGGCTTTGTCTTCCGCAAGCGTTCGTTCTTGCACCCGACCAAGCCACGTGCCTGCCAGCCCGCTCTGCTCGCAAGCATGCTGTGGGTCGCAGCCCAGACAAGCGACGCTCCCTTCCTCACCAGTGTGCCCTCAGCCCGCGGCAAGATTTGCCAGAAGCTGCTCGAGTTGACCGTTGGCCTGCTGAAGCCCCTGATCCACACTCCGTCAAATGCTGGCAATGGCGACGACTTGCAGCTCCAGGAGAATGGTCTCCGCCACGGCGACAACAATGTGGATGAGAGCATGCAGGCTACGGGCATGGATAGCCCTGTCTTTGATGGCGTGTCGCTCGGGGGTCTGGGCGTTGCCATGCCTGGTACCATTAGCATGGAGGCCGCGCTGGCCCATGCGACCATGGAGACAATGAACTTGGCCGTCACCACTGCCAATTCCGGCGACAACGCCAATGGAAACGGGAACGTAAACGGAAACGGAAACACCAGCGGTGGCGCTTTTGGCGCGGCTGGTACCATTGACGACGTCGCCACATACATTCATCTGGCCACAGTTGTCTCTGCCAGCGAGTACAAGGGCGCCAGTCTGCGCTGGTGGAACGCCGCCTGGTCGCTGGCACGCGAGCTCAAGCTGGGCCGTGAGCTGCCTCCGCATGCTACGTCTGCCCAGACGGAAGCACACAATAACCAACAGGGCCAAGGCCAGCAAGCAGAGACTCAGGCGCGCCAGCAGCAAACACGTGCGACGCGCGAAGTGAATGCAGAGGGCGCCGACAGGAATGAGCGCGAGAACGACCTCATGGGTATGAACGGTATCGACGGTATCAACGACATCGACGGCATTGGCAGCATCGACAGCATGGACGGTATTGAGGCCATTGATGGAAGCCTGGAGGGTGGTGTCGCTGTCACAAGCTCTACTACCAACTCCATACCCGTGTATGTCATTTCTGAAGAAGAACGTGAAGAGCGCCGCCGCATCTGGTGGCTCGTCTACATTGTTGACCGCCACCTTGCGCTGTGCTACAACCGCCCCCTGTTCCTGCTGGACATTGAGTGCGACGGTCTCCTGCGTCCCATGGACGACACGGACTGGCAGAACGGCGAATTCAGCGAGGCTTCCAGCAGTGAAGGCAAAGCGGCAAAGAATAACGTTGCCGAGGACGAGGAAAGTGATGAGGGTGTGAAGCGTGCGGACGCGGACAACAAAGAGAGCCAGAATGACAAGGGCTCGGCCAGAGGGTCTCGCAGTCATCGTGGGCCATCGTTTGAGTGCTGTGGCCACAGCATCTATGGCTACTTCTTGCCGCTCATGACCATCCTCGGCGAGATTGTCGACCTGCACCATGCCCGCAACCACCCACGCTTCGGGCTCGGCTTCCGCACCTCCCAGGAGTGGGACATGCAGATGTCTGAGATCACCCGACACTTGGCTATCTACGAGCGGAGCCTCAAGGCCTTTGAACACCGCACGCTCAGCCCGTCTGCCCTGGCCACCGCCCATGAGGAGCAGGCAGCCGCAGCTCTCGCCGCTGCTGATGCAAGCAATGCTGCCGACGCTCACTCCAAGAACAGCCAAAACAATATGGATGCCAGCATCACCGTTGGTGCCCTTGCCACTGGCCGTGCTGCCTCCGCTCCCCAGGATGCCGGTACGCCATCGGGCCACAGCGTGCAGTCTATGCACTCCATTCATTCGACCCCGCTGCCGACAACCTCGTCGATTGCTGCGCCCATGACTTTGGCTGCCGCGCCCCTTGTTCGCATGACCGAGCTCGACATCCAGACACGCATCGTGGTCGCTTACGGCACACACGTCATGCACGTCCTGCACATTTTGCTTGCCGGCAAGTGGGACCCTGTCAACCTGCTCGATGACAACGACTTGTGGATCAGCTCTCAAGGTTTCATCACCGCCACTGGCCATGCTGTGTCGGCTGCTGAGGCCATCAGCAGCATCCTGGAGTACGATCCAGGCCTGGAGTTCATGCCCTTCTTCTTCGGCATCTACCTGCTGCAAGGCTCTTTCTTGCTCCTGCTCATAGCCGACAAGCTGCAGCTCGAGGCCAGTACCAGGGTAGTTCGCGCCTGCGAGACCATCATCCGCGCACACGAGGCTTGTGTTGTGACCCTCAACACCGAATACCAGCGCAACTTCTCGCGCGTCATGCGCAGCGCCCTGGCACAGGTGCGCGGTCGTGTCCCCGAGGACCTGGGCGAGCAGCACATGCGCCGCCGCGAGTTGCTATCGCTCTACCGGTGGACCGGCGATGGCACCGGCCTGGCCCTATAAAGTTGGTGTTGAGGCTCCGTGTTATGCATATGTCTTTTCTCAGAACTTTTCTTTCCCTTTATTATCCTTTCTTTTCAGGTCTTCCTTTACACATTCTACGTTTTACATTGCCTTAGAGTATGGTTTACAAGGAGAGGGATGGATGGATAACCGGCAGGCGTTCTTAGTTTTGCTGTCTTATGATTCGCTTCTTTTTTGTTGTCTTTTCTTTCTGTATTGTCTTAGCGTGCTGCAACGAATCGGGGAAAACTTGGAAACTGAAACTCACAACGAGAGACGACATTATTATTTATTACGCAACAACGCAAACGACACGGATACGGATGGGCTCGCAGTTTCGCCATTGTTTCTGTTACACTGTTAACGGGCCGGGGTAATATTTGGATTGCTACGTTTATGCTTTGGTTGTTGCTTTATCTACTCGACTTCTAGATCTGACATGCCATTGGGGTGTGCAAAGATGCGTTAAAAAATTTTCTCATATAAATTTACAAAACATTCGCAACATATGATACAGCCATTCCACTTTTACCACACCAGTCGTATCTTTGCATTCTTATTCACGTCATCTAACGGTGCTTTGTTCTAGCCGTACTGCCCGTACAACGGTTTGGCTCGAGGGATTTGGGAGCCGTTTCCCCCCAAATGTGCCGGAGAAGGTCCTTGCTTTTCCTTCAGGCCCTGCGGCCCAATGTTCAGGCTTCCAGCCTGGCCGGAAGTCACTTGGTATGCCTTCGAGTTACACAATCCTTGCGTTCGCTTCGCAAAAGGCGATCTGCTTTTGCCAGTAATTTCGATGGATGGTGGCTTTGCAGCAGTCGGAACAGTCCCCGACGGCTACGGTGCATTTATTGGATGCTAGTTGGACCAACTGCACTTTATAAGTTGTTGTCCTCGGCTCTTCTGTGAATAATACGACTACAGACACACACACTCTCTCTCTATCTCGTATCCTTTATTCCTTTATGTAACATAATTACCAGCATAAGAATAAAATGATATTTTATCATTGAAGCTCTAACGCAAATAAATACATGGAAAACGATACGATTGGAGGCCAACATAAACGCCTACAGCTAGGAACTATCTCTACACAAGCACCCAACTACCGGATCTTTGCAGCTTCACGCGTTGCCTTTTCATCCTTTTATTTCCCCGGATGAGGGCCGCAAACTCGCCGAGCCCAACAACCGAGAATTAGTGCGGTGTAATACGGGGCACGTCTATGCGTGCGGATTGTCGGTTCTTATGGATGGTCTCGGCCTCAGTTCTTCTACGTGTGTTGCTTTTGTGTATCCTAACCGTGGTGTTTGTTCCCTACTTCCATCTTTTGTCCTGTCCCGGCTCTTCCCTTTACCCTCCTGTTGTCTTGTTGCACGAGCCGTGCACCCGGGAAGCCGTGTGCAACCACGGCCATTTTGTTTCTTTTTGTTTTTTTCTGGCCCTTTTTATGTTCATTTTCCTTCCTTTTCCTTCCTTTTCCTAGCTGATCTTTTTGGCCCTGCGTTGAACCCTCCTCCTTGTGTCACGAACCTGTCCTGTCTGTCGCCTTGTCACTGTATGATCAGGTAACACAGCGTCGATCGAGACGTCTTAACACAAGGAAAGAAGAGGAACAGTGGGCAGGGCGGCACGAAATACTTTACCAGGACTCTTTGGGCGTAGACAGCAAACGAGCACGACCAACGCGGACAACCAACAGTCCACACCAGTCACCTGCCAGGATGTTGCAACACCATAGGCTGGGCTGGGAGGTTCTGGCTGGTGTTGGGTATCACGAAAATCACACCAGTTTTGGCCGTCCTTTTGGGTCGCTGTGATTCGATGCTTTGTATGACCCGCACAGTTCATCCATATGATAATCTCGTGCTCGTGATTTTCGAGAGGACCATTGATACACACAACGATATAAAGGGAACGTAACCAAGAAGCAGACAAACATAATCGTGCTTTGTTCTATCTTGCCAGGAATCCTTGTCCTGATTCCGGCTCCTAGTCCCTGTTCCTATTCTAGATTTTTCCTTTTCCGATCCCGATCCATAAGCCAAAGTTTCCGTCGCGGTCCGTTGCTTTTCCAGGGTCAAATCCGTGTATAAGACATCTTTTCAAAATTCCAAACAATAAAACCATCGCGGCGAAGACAAAATTTCAAACGCTTTCGCCCAAGCGCCAAGACACTCTGTAGAAGGGCAGAGAAGTAGAAATAATCAGTACTGCGTCCGGTCTGTAGGAGAAACGACAGGTACGAACTCACGTCAGAACACCCCTGTGCAGTTCCAACGCCCTTCTTCCATATTCTGGTGCTTCGTTCACATCGAATCCAAGCACGGCCCGCAGATCTTGAGCTGGCAGAGTTGGCACTCGTAGACGGCAAACAGCTCTCCCAGCATACAGTAGCTGCACTGGAAGGTGAGATAACTGTTGTCGGACTTGATGTAGACGAAGTAGTGGTGGCACGTCTTGGGATTAGACATGATTGTGGTTGTGAGGGGGGCAATGGGTGAAGATAGACAAGACGAGTAAGAAAGAGAGTTAAGAGCTCGTAGTAAAGAAATAGTGAAATCGCCGCTTTTTGTGCTGGTGACGGAGGGGAGGCCTTCGTTTGTAGAAAGGAGGAGAAGATGGAAGGAAAAGGAGGGAAGGCGAGGGACCAGGCGAGGGACCAGGCGCAAGTTATACTGCGAAAAACTCCCTCAAAAGTTCTTTGAATAAAATGGAGCTTTGAAGGAAGCAACAGTCCAGTTTCTGTCCTTCCCTCTTTTGTGAAGCCTCTGCCAGTGTAGATGTTAGAATAAAACATGATACAAGACACTTGAAGTAGTCTACTCTATATGAGGACAGACGTAGACACAAAACCCCGACGGAATGCAGAGTTGCCATCTATGTTGTCTCTTGATTCTCATTGTGGACTGAACTTACGAAAGTCAAAGAACCCCGGGGGCGTGGATGTCCGTCCACTTTGCGTTTGTGCAAGGTGTGCAAGGTGTGAAGTCGTACTGAGCCTGATGTTGGCAGGTTGAGGTGTACGGATTTTGTAGGTCAAATCGTTTGCGTTGCACAGAACAGCAACGAGAATAACGTACTGTGAGGCGAGGTACGGAAAGATGTTTGCCGAGCAGAGCGTAGACAATGGGGGAAATCCAAGTAGGGTTGAGTAGCGACCAAAGGGGAAGAGAAAGTCGGAAATCGGGCCACTCTTTATATCAAGACTGGCCAAAAAGACAAAATGAGGTGGCAGCCTCTTTCAAATGGGATCGTCTCCGAAACAGATAGCAACGTGAGAGAGGGCGTGTTAACGGGGGAAACGCGCCGGTCCCAGGAAAACGTCTGATCCAGAAAGAGAAGAAGGTAAAGTGTAGGGGGACAAGAGACGGGATGGTGGTGCTCTCGTACAAAGGGTGATGGTATCTTCGTACTTGTCCTCGCCTTGGTCTGCCGTGGTTGTGGGTTGTTCTTCAGTTGTTATTCGGTTGTAGTCTGGTTGTGGTCCCGAGTTTTGGTTGCGGGAGTTGGTTGGTCTTGACGGTAGACGTGCTGATGTCGTGGTAAGGGTACCGTGGCTCCGGAGGGGCATCCAAAGTTCACAAAGAACGGTGGCAATGGCAAGCCGGTCTGGGAACAGGGCACAAGGCAGTTGTCAAGGTGGTTGTCAAAAAAAGATGGTGGGCCGGTAAGGGGAGAAGGGATTAGAAAAAAGGAAGCAGACGGATGTTCCAAAATGCTCCTTGCATTTATACGGAGAGTGGGTTATTGGGCGATTTTGTGGGCGTATTTGGGTAGTCGGAATAGAGTACAAAGCATGGAGTAAATGTCACGAAATAGAGGAGAGCAAAAGAAGAAGAAACATAAAAGAAATACAAAGAAAAGTGAAATAAGCTTGGCTTGGGGACGGGAGTTATCAGGACGCCCATTTCCACCTGACGGTATATCCCATGGGCCCGGCTATGGCACGTCTGGCACTTCCGCCACTCCTGACCTTTGACAGTCGTGCTCTTTGCACCCGTGAAACTTAGCTTGTCTGCACCGGCCGCATGACGGACAAGGAACTGGCCGGCGGGACGAAGCCGTTTCGCTCAGCTGACCCGCATTGAGGTTCTGCGCTTGGGCGAAAGGTAACGGCAAGCAGGATGCAAAACTGGAGAAGAACCAGAGACCTATGAGCTAGGAACTAGGGTCCGAAGCGGGTCTTGGTACATTGCGTTTGTTTCTATTTTTTGTTCTGAGGATAGTTGACAGAGTTAAAGGGAGGCTGGATCAGAAAAAGGGAAGCTGAGAGTGAGAGGCGTGGAGAACACGTAGAAACAACGGAGATGGCAAAGTGGGATGGAAGTGGAGGAGACGAGAGAAACGAAAAGCTGTTGAAATTGGGGACAGAGTAGCGAAAGCACATATGAAAGTGCGTACAGACTCGGAAAGGTTATGAGCCAAATGTAATAGACAAGGTACGACGTACGTTTGAGAAGGGGTCAATTGGGTACGGTAGTAGCTCAAATACGCAGCATCCTTGTCAAAAGGGCGCTTCCAACCGGTAGTGACAGCAATGAGAGAGGCAAACGGTATAAAAATAGTGGAGAGAAGAAAAAAAAAGCGAAACAAAAAGAAAGAAATACGAAGGCCATCAGCAAAGACCACAAGACTCAAACATGACAGGCTAGAAAAGCCAAAGAAGAGGAACGACTAAGCAGACATGGGGAAACAAGAAAACAAGCGCCCAGAGAATGAATGACCTTGATGAGTTGCTTTGTATCACCGGCCCATGGGCCAACCGCACCTGAGTTTGCCTAGTGCCGGACCCAGAACAGGCCAAAACGAAGACAAGAATGGGCCGGGGTTTCGGGCTCTCGCCCGTTTTCTTACAAAGCATATCTTACACGCAAAACGTGTAAGTCCTCTGCATGTGCGTCGTGGGTGGTGCAGCCGCGGACCTTGCAATAAGCCAAAATCGGATTGGCCTTCCTTTTAATTTTAATTTTTTTTTAAATTCTTTGTCGTCATCATTT